ACTGAGAAGCCACCACATGCTTCAATACATTGCTCCAGTATGGTAGGTTTCAAAGAGGTTTTTTCAGCCAATGGTCTTACTATTATCTCTTTTAGGCATGCTGCAACCTTGCCTTACTGTAGGGATATATTTGCCATTCCCCTTATCCACTCAGTCAGTTCATCCTGCCAGCAACTTTTGTAAGTTAGGAAAGGCAAAGGTTCAACACACGTGTGGTTTCAGCTGCCCAAGGAGTCTATTCACATCTTTGGGCTACATAAAGTGACATGTATCCATTATCATAGGACAATAAGATACCATTGTTACATCCATAGCACTTGCATAAACTAAGCGTCCATGTTAGGGAATATTTCATCTGCACAGCATTGTGAAGTTCTTCACAATGAATAGTTGAATGGTCTGCATCCTGTTCTTGAGGGCAATCATATAATAGGCCCTTGATTATTCAAAACAGCTTCATTGAAAGGCTCTGTTCAGATGCAGAGGCAAGAGAGAAGGATAATAGCCACAGCCATGGTCACTGTTACCCCATCCCAGATATCAAACAGGACATTAATAGGACCACCTGCCAAGGTGAAAGGACTCACCAAGAACCATAAGGAAAGCATTTGAATCCATAAACATCCTTGGCCTTAATCAGTTCCCTGTCTTTGCTACTCTTGGGGGCCATAAAAGCATTTTTACATACCTCAGAAACATTACGTCCCCTCCCCCCCCCCCGGATTTGCCTTAACCACTTGAATCATCTCATCTGAACTGTTTTTCTGACTTGGTTGATTTATCCAGAAATGATATCATTAGTATGGTATGAAGTAGAAACTTGTATTGCCTTTATTGGAAAGTGGTGTTGTCATGATCACATTCCATTCCAGATGTTGTGTGTTTAAGATGCACTATTACTTATTTTCCAGCCCTGGTCAATAAAATTCTCCTCATCCATTGAATAAGTAATTTAGGGGGGAAATGATGAGGACTCAGTGGCCTGGTTTGAGCAAAACAGCAAACTGACAGAAGAGCTTTGTATTGGCTTCTTCCTCTATATACAGTGGTGCCTCGCATAGCGATGTTAATCGGTGCGGCAAAAATCACCACTAACCAAAAACATCGCTATGTGATTTAAAAAACCCCATTGAAACGCATTGAAACCCCTTCAATGCGTTCCAATGCGGGGAAAACTTACCTTTAAGCGAAAATCCTCCATACGGCAGCCATTTTCGCTGCCCAGTAAGCGAGGAATCCATTCCAAAACAGAGCGGGTGGCCATTTTTTTCCGGTGGCCATTTTGGAACCGCTGATCAGCTGTTGGAAAAAAATCGCTATGCAAAAATCGGTAAGAAAAATAGCTTACCGATCATCACAAAGTGATTTTTTACCATTCAAAACATCATTATGTGATTGCTTTTGCGATTGCAAAAACCTAATCGCTATCCAGATTTGTCATTAAATGGGGCGCTCGTTAAGCGAGGCACCACTGTACACATACTAGGCAAGCATAAATTGGGTGAACCATTACAGTTAAAAACAAGCTGTGTTTTAATGAATCCACAACTCACCTGCCAACCAGAATTAGGAACCACAGTTTTAATAAATAAGTACTGGGGTTTCTTCTCAGATCCCTGGCCTTGGACCCTAGTACCACTTCTTGAATGGTCCACTTTGTGGACCAAAGGTTCCCTCTGCTGCATCCCATTTATTCCCCAAAGTATCTAAATTATCATTTGTCAAATGCTGGTAAGTATGAGGTGATTGGATAACTAGTGAGATGGCAGAAAAGGTGAACACTATCATTCATGGAATACATGCAATTGTTTTGTTTCTATTACTCCTTGTCCCTTCCAGTCCAAAGTATGCTTTCCAACTGGCAAGATATGAAGCAATATTTAATTATGTTCAGATTATCTGACTTGCTAAGCAGTCCAGAAATAGATATTGTAATAATGTGGTTAAAGTGAGCAGTAAAAAGGGAAATGTGCCTTTGATGAGAAAAAAAACCCAAAAGGGATATTGTTGCTCAGAACGTACACAAGAGACTTGCAGCTTAGTTTTGTCTATAGTCATATGAAAAAGAAAGTATACCTTTTTTGAATTCTATGGTTCTATGTATGAGGACATAATAAAAATCATCTGGTCCTCAGCAGGTCTAAAAATCAATTAAATACAACCTCAGATGAATAGCCACACATGACATATGCCACTGTGCCATGATTTATTTTACAAAAATGAAGTCATGGTGTAGAAGCCATGTGTGAATAACTAAGTACATTTTATGATTCAATAGCTTGTAGAACCACCTTAAGCAGCAATAACTTGAAGTAATCATCGTCTGACTTTATTGATCTCTCACATCACTGTGGAGGAGTTTTGTCCCACTCTTCTTTACTAAATTGCATCACTTCACTGTGGGCATTTGTTTAAGGCCCCACCACAGCATTTCAATTGTGTTGAGGTCGCACTTTGACTGAGCCACTGCAGCACCTTGATTCTTTTTGTTTTTTTCAGATTTTTTGTTATAGATTTGCTGAAGTGCATGGGATTATTGTCCTGTTGCATGATCCAATTTTGGCCAAGCTTTAGCTGTTGGACAGATGTTCCTACATTTGACTCTAGATTACTTTGGTATATAGATTCAATAGTCAACTCAATAACTGCAATATTGTTTTGCAGCTCCTGTGGCTGCAAAACAAACCCAGATCATCACCCCTCCACTACTTTGTTTGACAGTTGATACGAGGTGTTTGTGTAAATATGCTGTGTTTGGTTTTTGCATAGCACTTTGCATTATCTCCAAACTTCTCTACTTTGGACTGTCCAAAGGACATTGTTCTTGAAGTCTTGTAGTTTGTCCAGATGCAACTTTGCAAACCTAAGTCAGGCTGCCATGTTCTTTTTAAAGAGAAGAGGCTTTTTCCTGGCAACCCTTCCAAATGAACCATAACTGTTCAATCTCTAATTGTACTGTCATTAATTTTAACATTTCACATGATAATAACTGAGGCCAGTTGAGTCGGAGATGTAACTCTTTGTTTGTTTGTTTGTGTTTGTTTTTTGTAGTTTCTCTGAGCATTGCACACCCTAACCTTGGGATGAATTTGCTTTGACGTCCACTCCTAGGAAGACTGGTAACTGTCTTGAATGTTTTCTACTTCTGAATAATCTTCACTGTAGAAAGATGCACTTTAAATTGTTTGGAAATGGCCTTATAACCCTTCCCAGATTGATGGGCAGCAACAATTCTAACTGTATATATACATATAATGTCCCACTGGGCAGCGACTTCAAAAAAACTTTTTTGAAGTGTTGTGAACGCAGGGCGTTGGGACGAATGTCTCTGTGTGCCCAACAGAAACGAGGCAGCCAGGCCGGCACGGAAGAAAACACTCTATGGCAACGCTGCTGTAACTTCCACTCATTGAGAAATGCATCTCTGCTTGCATCAAGCCTGGCTTATGTCCCGCCCCGAGAGTCATATAACTCACCGTGATTGGTAGGTTTGTTCAGCTCTGCACACAACACTGTGAAGTGCCATACATATCAAAGTCGTGGGCCGCACTAACATTAAACTTTCATAATAAGGCAGGGGCCACAAACTATTGACCCATGGGCTGCAAGTTTAAGACCCCTGGTAGAGGATTCAGGACAGGCTTGATAGCATACACTGTTCTGAGCTCTAACACCTTACTACTCCTCCTCACAACTACTGCTCAGCCATCTACAGTGTCTGCTCCCTAAGGTAGTTATTTCACTGTTCATAATGCCACAGTTGGACTTCCTCATAAACACCTACGAGACACCCAGGATCCATGTATTGCAACTGTTGTTCATGGCTCTTTACAGGTCCTGCAGGCCCCATGTTCTTGGCATCTGTGACTGAGTTTGGGGGTGGGGAAAGGGCAAGATGAAGACAGGCCATGATGTGGCTAATTCCCTAGTTGCTGTTCTGGCTGAATGCTCAGCTTTGTAGTACCTTTATTCTGGGTTCGACTCTCAAGACCTCGCTCCTTCTTTTGCCCCTGATATGACGGTATATTTTCCACTCTTCAGGGATGCACTAAATGAGAGGGAACATTTTTGCCTTTCCTGTGATGGGGATGAGGCCTCCCTCTTCCACTCCCCGATCCAATGACCTCTACAATGATCCACTCAAGTTTGCTGCTGCCTGTATCTGCCTGTGGCTGCCCTTCTGCCTTTTCCTCTGTCTTATTGTCAGAAAACTCTCCCCCATTCTCAGAAGTCTTTATCTCTATGCTGGAGTGCACAACATGCTTAATTTGAAAGGATATTCCTGAATGTTTCCTTTGAAGTCTGAAATAATCAGGCTCTCAGCTCACGTACTAGTATTCACAGTGTCTAGATGTTATTCTTTTGGAAGGAGAACAGAAATATTGCAATGCATTCATATAAAACAAGAAGTGGTGTACAGGTATTATGCCAAGTTAACCTTCTGTATCAGCTGAAGCCTCGTTGATTCTGATCAAGATTACATGTGAGAAGAGCAACATCTCAGGGGCAAGACTAATGTGCTCCCTACTTCATGTATTAATTCAGGTTACAGAACATCTGAACAGAATTTAGTCACCCAGTAGAAAGAAGTCATTGCAATCATCCTGAAGGTTGCATAAATATAACCAATGTGTGTGATAAGGAGAAAAAATCAGGTAATGGGGTGTACTATTTGGAAAATAGGCTAATAGCTGCCAAGCTATTAGCCTATTTTCTAAGCTTGGCAGAATTCTTACAGTATTTCCAGATAGATGGCTCCCAGCACTTCAAGGAGGGTTTTTCATTGTTCTTTTAAAGCACCATTATGCGGCTAGTCTGTCTTTCCCTCCTTGTGATATTTTTATTTGTTTAAACATTGGGAGAATATGGCTACAAGCTGGCACTACCTTCCACACACCCTGAAAAATTCTGTCAATAATGTAGAAAAATTGAACAATAAAAGCTTAATGTAGAAGCACCTTTTCACTTCACCAAAAGGGGGGGAATCATGAATAGTTTTCCTTTATTGTCTGCTGGATTTTGACACTGGGCTGCAAGAAAGAAAAAAAGAACCAGATCATTATGAAATGAGAGAAAAAGTGACTGCTTCAAACCGCAGTGTGTTGGGTAGAATTTTAAAACTATTATACTATTTCATTTCAGCCTCCCTTTGTAAGGTGATCAAATGATCACCTTATAAAGCTTCCTTCATATTGTTACATCTGCTGTATCTGTACTTACCTGCTGGGTAATCATGGAATACTTACCACTCTATCAACATACAAAGACTATCTAATCAATGTATGAAGTGTGCCTGAATACATTGAATTGCTCCCATTAATTGCAGTGCCTTACCATGAACCAGTTGGGCTCCAATACGAACAATAAGTCTGCATATCAAGAGATTCCAGGCAGGCAGTGCTGCCCTGGTCTCCTTAAACCAAATGAGGTTTACAGTCCATCTTCAAAGAGCACTTTGAAATTCCTAATAACCATTTGCCTGAAAGCTGTTTGGCAAGTGTAAATTTGATGCTTCATTTTGTGTCTCTGGCATCCTGATCTGGGGATCTCCCCCCTTTTTCTCACAATGGTTGATATACTGTATATTGTGCTAATGAGAGAGATTTATATGGTCCTTAACGGCTGAAACGTGCATAGTTTAAAGAGATGGAGCATCTGGACTCAGGAGTTTGATTCACTCTTTTACAGAGTGAATCAAACTATAGAACAGCCAGCCTGTGTGGTCTTGAGCAAGATTCACAGTCCCAGAGTACCCCAAAAGAAGGGAATGGTAAACCACTTCTGACTTCTGTATAACTAGAATATCCTGGGAAGGGTCGCTGTGAGTTGAAATTGACTTGATGGCACATAATTATAATGTATAAACGACAGCTTTTCTGTATTTTGTAGCTTTAGTAAATATGGAATGTCCATAATGCAAGACATTAAATCCCAAGGTTTTGTGCTATGTGAATTTCTGTTAAGAAAAGGTATGATAATTTAACATCACATAACACTTCTGGGCAAAGAAAGATTTGCAACAACTACTAATTTGATTGTTTAGTCTTACTCACAGTACAATAAGGGTGGAAGTAACAAGTGGGGTACCCCAGGGCTCAGTCTTTGGCCCTGTGCTCTTCAACATTTTGATTAATGACCTGGATCAGGAGATCCAGGAAATGCAAATCAAATTTGAGGATAATACAAAATTGGGTGGAATAGCTAACACCCTGCAAGACAGAAATAAAATTCAAAACAATGTAGATAGGCTTGAAAACTGGGCTGAAAAGAACAGAATGAAATTTGACAGGGAGAAATGCAAAGTGCTGCACTTAGGAACAAGAAACCAAACACACAGTTACAAGATGGAGGATATCTGGCTGCTCAGCAATACTACAAGTAAGAAGGATTCTGGAGTCCTTGTAGATCACGGTTGCATTAAGAGAAGTATAGTTTCCAAATCCCATGAGATACTAGTCCCCCTTTATTTGGCACTGGTTAGGCCTCATCTTGAATACTGTGTGCAGTTCTGACACTGCACTTCAAGAAGGATGCTAACAAATTGGAACGAGTTAAGAGGAGGGCAACAAGGATGATCAAGGGGCTGGAAACCAAGGAAAGATTGAAAGAACTGGGCATGTTTAGCCTTGAGAAAAGAAGACTGAAGGGAGATATGATAGCACTTTTCAAATACTTGAAAGGCTGTCATACAGAGGAAGAGTGCATGACATGCAACAATGGGCTCAAGTTACAAGAAACCATATTTCGGTGGAATATCAGGAAAAACTTCCTGTTAGAGCAGTACAGCAATGGAACCAATTGCCTTGAGAGGTGGTGAATGTTCCAACACTGGAGACATTCAAGGTAAAGGTAAAGGTTGCCCTTGACATTTAGTCCAGTCGTGTGCGACTCTAGGGTGTGGTGCTCATCTCTGTCTCCAAGCCATAGAGAGAGTGTTTTGTCCGAAGACAGTTTCTGTGGTCACGTGGCCAGCACGACTAGACACAGAACACCATTACCTTCCCACTGAGGTGGTACCTATTTATCTGCTTGTTTTTACATGCTTTCGAACTGCTAGGTGAGCAGGAGCTGGGACAAGCGATGAGAGCTCACTCCATCACGTGGATTCGATCTTACAACTGCTTGGTCTTCTGACCTTGCAGCACAGAGACTTCTGCAGTTTAACCGACAGCGCCACCACATCCCTTTCAAGGGACATTCAAGAGAAATTTAAACAACCACCTGGACTTGATGGTCTTATAGGTCCCTTTCAACTTCATGATTCTATAAGATGTAGACATGACTAGAAAACTAAAATAAAGCTCAGTGATTGGCTGCCAAATCCTGAATAGCACCAACAATTCATGTCTTCACAGAGGACAGGCGGAAACAGAGAGGGTCAAAACCTATTCAGTCTATGCTTTCAAAGATAAAACATTATACTTGTAATTTGTTACAAATTATACTTTGTAACATTATACTTGATGGGAAGTTTTGGGTTTGTTTTTTGTTTGTTTGTTTTTAGCTCAAAACCCCACACAGAAGTTGTTGTGAGCTTTTAGTTGGCCTAACAAAGGTATCATGACGACATGAATTTCGATTAGTTTATACAGCTTTCCATCCAGCATTAGGGGTTCAATACTAATGTAGCAGTGTAAGTACCGTAATACCCACTCTTTGTCACTAGGTTGCACTACACAGCAGATGCAGGGAGCTGAGCTGTTCCCCAACGTCTCATGTCCTTGATGCATTGCACATGCAGCGGAGGACAGATTTGCACATCACTGCAGGCTGGGAATAATTTTAATTCTTCTCCTCTCACAGTAGTGGAGGACATATTTTAATGCAAAATTGTGTGTTGGTGCTTATACAAATTTGTCAAACCCTGAAAATATTAATCTTTAGAACAAGATTTCTAGGCAATCTGCAACTCTGCAGGATTAGTCCAGTTGGGGACCAGAAGTGGAGGCTGATTATAACAGTAAATCAGTGGGAATCTCGAGCTGGGTGCTTTTGAAAATCTTACTTGAAAAGTTTTGTCTGCTTACTCTGTGTGTGTGTGTTTTGTCTTGCAACTGGTCCAGCACCGAGAAGAAACCATCTGCTTTAACAGAAGTCATGTGATTTCTTGTTGAAAGTAACACTTGCATAATTTTATGAAATCCATGCATCTCATATATTGGTGAAAGCTAACATGTTAGATTGCAGACAAGCAGTCCTCTTTTAAAGAAGAAATGACTGCCACTGGGTACAGGGTTCAACTATTGCTGGATGTTTCCTTTTAATTTCTACTTTTGGATACTGAGAGCCAGTATGGCACAGTGGATAGAGTGTCAAACTAAGACTCAGGAGCCCTAGATTCATACCCCATTCTGCTCTGGAAAGTTACCTGAACATCATAATGGTAAACTGCTTATTGAACACCTCACAAATTCCAAAAGTACTATTATGGTTGCCATAAGTCAGAATCCAGTTGACAGCACTAAGGCCAGGATGGTATTGTAGAGAGAGCACAAAACTGGGGCTCAAAATTCAGATTCCCTTTGGCTACTGATACTCCTTTGGGTACCTAGTGTGGTGCAATGGATAGACGAATGAATTAGGATTCAGGAGACCTGGGTTTGATACCCTGATTCTGTCATAGAAACTCGCTGCTGGTGGTTGGAAGTGGTGAAACTACTCCTTAAATACAGTGGTGCCCCGGTAGACGCTTACCCCGCATGATGTCGAAATCGCTTGATGATGCTTCCAATGGGGGAAATCTGCTTTACGTAGATGATAGACAAGACCATTAACCAATGAGTGTGGTGACAAAAGGGGGAAAGGGGTGTGTGAAATATTGTGGCATATTAGAGACTAATAATTTTATTTCAGTATGAGCTTTCATGGATCAAAGCCCACTTCCTCAAACTCTGAAGTTTAAATGAGTGACTGGTATATTTTTATAGATCCCCATAATCAGGTAAGGAGACAGGTAATAGACAAAGCAAGAGTGAACTGTTAAAACAAGAATGGGTCTATCAAACTGTAAATGGCTCAACAGGTAGTGGGGCAGGCTTTGCAAGATGGTTGCCCTTGTTGCTCCCCATCTGCACCAGTGCTATTTAGGAGGAACAGGGAAGGGGAGGAATAAGATTTGAAAGCAACGTTCATCTCAAAATTTAGTAGGCGGGATTATATAGGAGAAAATAGCTCTTTGGGATATTTTGGCATGCTGCATTTGAGAATGACACTAGGTGGAAGGCATGATGGAGGAAGCAAAATGGAGAACAGAGAAACTGTCTCCAGTGGTGACGGGAGCACTAGAGTATATCAGTCTGCATAGCTTTTGTTTTGTTTTCCTTTTCTTTTTTATTGTGTTAATGTAATTGTAATAAATGTTTTGTGTATTTTGATTAATTAAAGGGGGGAAAGTAAGCAAAATGGAGGCCGGACTGCCAACACAGTTGCTGTTGCTGCCACTTGCAAAAACAATATGAGGAAAAATCCTGGGAACAAAAAACAAAGATATTGAGCTCCACCCCTGAGAGGTTGTTGGGGAATTCCTCTTTCCCCTGGAGACCTTTGATAAAATTGCCCCCCCTCCCCTTGTTTCTGTACACACATGGAGAATTTCAAACAGCCATTTGTGGACAGCTTTAATTGTTAAGTAACCATTGATGGCTTCAAAATGTAACCTATACTTTAAAGTTAAGTGCTATATTCATGCAGAAAGAAAAGAAAAACAATGCAAGGAAGAAACTGAGTTTTTATGTTATTTTATGCCTTTTAGGATGTAGTCCAGATATGGCAAATGAGGCACTTCAGAATTTGGAAAAGTAGGACAGTTTGCTTCACGACTGCTTTGCTAGCACCATTCCTCATATACTACTGGAATCATTCCACTGACAAAGGTACAGTAAGGGCACTATGGCATCATTTTGTGAATGTCTGTGTGTTGGAGTGCTACTGTGGAAATTCCTCAATCAGCCAGCTATTGGCAGTTCTTTCTGCCCTGAAATTCCCCACGCCTACCCTGCGGTAGAAATTTCTCATAAAGGCTGCTACAAAACCAAACTGGAAAAGAATACATTAAACAATGTTTGTTTCCTCTCGTAATGCTTGGAAATGTGATCCTAAAACATGTTGCATTACCTTGTGCTGGTACATTAGAGAGAGAGACTTGGAGTCTAATAAGAGGAACCAACATTTTTCTTCCCACATGCTAGAATCTCCAACAGGACAATCTTCACTTAGTCACAAGAGGCCTCTGTGACGAGAGCACTTTTTAGCCTGTTTGGCTGCTACTTCAGCCAAGACCATAGCCTAGACTGGACTAGCTTTGCTTCAGTTACTCATGACCTAGTAACATCCCATTCTTAGCTGCTAAGCACCATGTAGAATGCAATTGCAGTGCTAGTACTTCACCACCTGTAGTGGTTCTCAGTCCATTTCCAGGTCCAATTCAAGATGTAGTTTTTGACCTTTAAGCTCCTGCATGGCATCGGGCTTAATAGCCCAGTGGTCTGGAGAACTGCTGAGCCACAGATTGGGAGTTCAATTCTTGTGTGGCTTGCATAAGAAAAGCCCATTTGCCAAGCCTTGGGCAAATTGCCAAGTACAGTGATGCCTCGCAAGACGATTGCCTCACAAGACGATTAATCCGCAAGATGATCAGTTTTTGCGATCACTGTTGCGCTTCGCAAGACGATGTTTTCTATGGACGATTTTTGCAAGACGACAATTCTTCCCCATTGGAACGAATTAAGTAGATTTCAATGCATTCCAATGGGGAACCACATTTTACAAAGCAATGTTTTCTATGGACAATTTTTGCAAGACAACAATTTTCCCATTGGAACGCATTAAGTAGATTTAAATGCATTCGAATGCGGAACCGCGTTTCGCAAGACGATGTTTTCACAAGACGACGTTTTTCGTGGAACGAATTAACATCATCTTGCGAGGCACCACTGTACAAGAATACCCCAAAAGGAGGTATGATAAACTGTTTCTGCATACTTAATATCTAGGGAACCCTGGGATGAATCACCATACATCAGAATGGATAACACTCCATTATTAATTTCTGTAGAGGGCCTCTGCCCTATACACCAAGAATTCTCTCTCTTTACATGCATATACCTGGATCTTGAGATGGACTTCAGAGACTTTTCTTTGACAGCCTCCACTGAGTGAGATGTGGTCAGTAGCCACATGAAATCACTTTTCCAGTGAGGACACCCTGGCTATAGAATTACCTCCTCTGAGAAGCTCACCTGTTGCTTCATTTGATATTATTCAAAGTATTTTAATTTTCTAGGTATTACAGTATGTTGTAACTTGAAGGTCTTTTTATTCTCCATTAACGTTTTAATTGTTCTGTTTCTTGTTGTGAGATCCTGAAATACAGGACATCCTGTATCCTGTGGTTTTTAATCTGTATTATCATTTGCCTGCTTTATGAGCCAGTAGTTTGATGCCTTATAAAATGCCTGTAAAGTTTGCAGTGAAAACCCAAGTCAGTGCTGTAGCAAACACAGCATCCAGTGCATCTCTCTCTTCTTACTTGACTCCTTCTCTGGGGCAAACCCTTGCTACTATTTCAGGCTGCCCAGGGAAGCCAACCTCACTTTTCAGAAGACTCCATGGCTCCAAGAGATTCACAGAATCCCATGAAAGGGACTTTGGTCTCCACCTGTTGGTACTGCCTTCTGCAGCAGTCCTGTCCCAAGATCTGGTGTAGAGAGCCGGCATCTGTTCGCCTGGCACTGTAGTTGGCACCCTTTAAAAAGATCCCAGGTTCCAGAAGCGGATTGAAAGACGAAGACCACTGTATTACAAGTGGAGGGGGCATCTAATATTTTTAATTAGCCATAACCCTCTCCCAACTGTAGAGTAAAAGAGGCAAAGGTGTAAGAAAACCCACAGAAGAGTTTGCATTTCAGTCCAGAGTGGCTGAAAGCCTTTGGTGGGCAGGTGACCTTCTTCTCTTCTTGAAAGGTAATGCCAGTTCCAGACAGGGCTCCCCGTTTGCTGCCATGTAGACATTTTGGTCCAGACCCAGTTAACCCCATCCTTTATTGGTGCCTCTCAAGAACCTGGGGAATGAATGACACGTGTTGCTCTTGGAGACAGCCGCCCTTCCCGGCTATCATAAGCTGCCAGCAGATACGGAGAAGATCATAGGGTACAGGCACTGAATTACAGAGGAGATATTTTCCTTTGTTTACTGTCCGGCTGCTCTATTCTTGGAAGGAAGACAAGGACAAAGATCTTTTGTCTCTTCACGTACCTCCAGCTCAAAACGTTATGAAGGCTGTCTAAATCAAGCACACCCTGCGAAGGAAGCGCTCAGCTCTTCCGCCTAGAATCTTGAGAGATCGCGGTCTTCTTTAGTGTAAGCGACCACCACCGGATACCGTTCTCGTTGTTTTCCTAGAAGGACTCCCGCCGCCCTCTCCCCTTCTTGGCCACCGGCCGGGGCGGGCTGGGGGCCAGGGCTCCCTCCCTTCCCCTTCCCCTCCCGCAACCTCGCGCTTAGGTGCTCTTCGCGGCTTACCTTGGGTTCCCGGGCCCGGCGGGCAGG